TGACCCTCCAGGGCCTGCTCTCCAACCTTTAACAGTAGTTGGGTGATGCTCAGCGCATCCAGGTGGGGCTGCACATAGGTGGTGGAGGGGAGTCCCCATTACCTGTAAAGCGCTTTGAGTGGAGTGTCCAGAAAAGCGCTGTGTAAGTGTAAGCTATTATTATTATTATCATCTTGCTTGTTTGGATTGCGGTAGCTTATGAATCCAAGAAGCTGATTTCTGAATCTCTACTGTTAAGTACATATCTGATTCCTAAATGGTCAAGAAACGAGCAAGTGAATACCTTCCCAGGCTTAAAAACCTGTTCTACACAGGCTTAAAAAAAAAAGAAATTCAGCTATTCAAAATGCTCAAAGGTATTTGACAGAGTGAATTCAATCATAACAACCCATAGGGCACCAGTGAACATTTATGGGTACAGTAAATAGAGGTTTCAGTTTAAAACTGAACATAGGAGAGTAGAAATTTTAGGCCTTCTTGTGCTTTTTTATTTTGTTTAAGATCTTGCATACTTTATACCACAAGTGGTAGGGGTCTGGAATAAGCCCCCAGTCAGTCTTTCTAGGTGAAACCCTGGCATCTTTCATGAAGCCACTGACACTTTGCTGGCTTCGCTAGCTATGAGAGATCCAATGAGCCAAGCAGGCCAGATGGCTTCCTGTTTGTAACCTTTCAGTTCTGTGGATGACTCGTCCTGTTTAATCTTGCGATTTGCCTTTGTGCCACAAGAAAATAACTGCAATAGAAGTGCATCCGAAGTACAGCCTGTTCTACGGAGACTATGACTTGGCTCTGGTCAGAGTGGACAAGCTGGAGTTCAGCGAGGCGGTTAGTCCTGTCTGCCTGCCCTCCGGCGTGCTGGAGTCCTCCTCCATCTGTGTGCTCACTGGCTGGAGTGTGGTGAATGGTAAGTCTTCAGCTGCCTTCATCATAAACTGCTTTTCTAGAAAGTAGTCTTAAAATGTGACTTCTTAACAACTTGGGTTCTTCTTAAGTAGAAATCCTGCATGTTGCATTATAACAGATCTCTTGCAGCTAGTATCATGTTGTAGTTTGAGTTTTTCAATACCAAGGTCTACTTAGTTTGGTTTTTGGTTTCACTAAACTGATGTCCTGTTTCCCCACCTCTTTGGATCTGTCTTATGTGCGATTATGAGCCAGTTGTACTAAAAACTGCTCTTAAAAAGGGCCTCTTTATACTGTTTTGGCTGGCAGTTGGATGTGAGGTGACTTACCTTTGAACCCCCTGACGCAGCTGGGTATTTAGCTGGAGTAATCACAGTGACGTCCCTGCTCTTGGGCACAGAGCTATCTCACCATCTCGCCTGTCCAGAACCCTCACTGCTGACATTCTGACTACTGGTTCTGTGGCCCCAGGGCAGAGAGCGAGCAGCCTGCAGCAGCGACTCGTGCCCATCCAGGACTCGGGGGTCTGTAACAAGTCCCGTCCCCCTTGTGGCACCGAGCGCATGTGCCCCCTCTCCTCCATCTCGGGGAGCAGCAGGTGTCCGGTAGGTGGGCGGTAAAGAGGTACAGTCCTCCACAGAGGAACCGGGGAGCTGCGGGTCTCAGGCTTCGTTTTAGAGTTGACTGGGACTGGGGTCACACAGAGGTGGATTGAAGCCAGATTGGGGGGGACTTCTGCACCAAGATTCATGTCCCTGTGACTCTTGGGGTGGGGGGTGACTGTGCACTTTTGTTTCTTGGGATTTTCCTCCTCCAGGAGGTGGTGGTGGTGGTGGAGGGGGGGAGAGAGTCCTGGGAGTATTCACCGCTGAAGGGACCCACGGTTAATGTGTGGACATCCTTGCCTTAACGTTGTAATACTCGTTTTCAAGTCGATTTTGAGGGTGGCCTTTAACGCCCTCTTTTGTTTGTTTGTTTTTTTTTGCCCCCAAGTTTGATACCGGCGACCCGCTGGTGTGTAAAAGCGGCGGCGTGTTTGTGCTCGGAGGCGTGCAAGGCGGGCACACGGACTGCGGGGGGCCGGTCTGCGTCCACAGCCGCGTGGGGGCCATGGTAGGCTGGATTAAGGATGTGATCAGACACTACGGTTGGTAAATCTGTGGCCAGCTAGTGGAGCTTAACTCATCCTGAAGCAGCCAACAAGCCCAGCTTAAGGTATCTTTTCTTTCTTTTCCCCCCTTAAGCTTTAAACGGCGAACTCCAAAGTGACGTAGGGAAGGGTGAGAACTTATTTCCTTGGATTTTCATTAGACGTTAATCTTTGCCCTAGTGATATTGTGAAGTGATATTTCATTAGCAATTAAACAAGGAGCAGGCTGCAACAGCTCTCCAATGCAGTGTTGCGGAAAGGTCACAACCTTTCTAGCCCTGCTGTATCCCAAGCTGCCCTATTTAAGAATTTTGTGGTGGGAACGTGATCCTTGAAGTTATGAACCTGGTGGAGGAGGAATTATTCTCTGGCAGGTATAGTTATGTGCCTGGACACCTATCCTTCGTTGTCCCATAATGCTGTACAACCATTACACTACACATGACTATTCCCCTGCTCCTGTGGCCTGTCCTGATATCATGGCCCTGTTGCCCACAGAGTGTCCCACAGACCTGGAGCTGCCTGCCCCACCAGAGGCCCTGCTGTCCCCCCCGTATGCTCCGAACCTCGCCTGCTCCTGGGTCCTGCGGCTGGGCGAGAGGAGGAGAGCCGAGGTGGCGGTGAGCAAAGTGCACACTCCCAGCATGGACTGCAGGAGCACCTTCTTCAGCATCGAGCAGCAGACAGGCAACCAAACGCTGCTTCTAGGTAACAAATTCCCATTGCGTGTGGAGGCCTGGGGAGTGAAATGCTTGTTGTTGATGGGGTTTTTTTAACTCCCTAGACCGATTCTGCGGAAAGCTGAAATATCCCTACAAAGTCTACTCCCTTCTGTCGGATGACAAGTCCTTTTTGAGGTTTTCCTATAAAACCAACACGGATGATCCTTCACCTGACTATGGATTTTCTCTAACTTACAAATATGTTCCAGATTAGTGCTCTGTGTGTCCCGGTTGGCCTTCAGTTATTTTTGTGTCTCCATGTACTTGATTTTGAATAAACTGCTTCAATTATGTTGTCTTTTCTAGTACATGCTGTACACCTGCACAAACAATAATTGTTTTTTTTTTTTAAATAAGGCAAAGTTAAGGTTGAATTTTTTTTCTCCCCTCTCCTTAAAGCAACCTGGAGTCTTTCTCCATGGACAAGGACCAAGAATAAAGGTTACAAAGGAGACATAGCATGGATAAAGCATAGCAAATGAAGGATATACGAAGAAAAGCATAGAATTTTAAACCAGGGGATGTTAAAACTGTACAATGCTCTAGTAAGGCCTCAATGAGAATACTGTGTACAGTTTTGGTCAGCACACTATAAAAAAAAAAAAAAACTGCTGCAGTGAAAACGGCAACCAGATACATTCTGGAGATTAAAGGAATGAATTACACTAACAGGCTGAAGGAACTGAATCTCTTTGTTCTTGAACAGAGAAGACTGCGAAGAGGCCTGATACCAGTATTCATAATTCTCAGGTTTACTGATCACCCTACAGTAGTTCTGGTTTCTTCAGAACCAACAGAGAAACGCAGACCAGAGGACACGAGAGGGAACTGTGTGGAAGTGCGTTTTAACAC